AACATTTTGTCACTGCTGAGTTTTTCACAAAATGGACGAATGTGTCCTGGTGAGAAACAGTAATGACAAACATAACCTCTTATTCTGGAATCTGGAGTGGTGACTGTGGACTTCCTGCAATCCTTTCTGTTTGCACCCTTCTCTTTTACAAAGACAATTTCTTTCTTCTTAACTGGCTTCATTTGTTTTTTGAACCCTAGCCCTTCATGTTTGTAGTGCTTTTCCATTGACACAATCTCTTCGAGCTTAGTTGTGCCAGTGTTCATCCTCTTGATTGCTAGAGTTGCCTTTTTGAGTTCTTCTTTCACTTTTGCCAGTTCAAGATCCTTCTTGGTGATTCCAACCTCCAAATGTGTGATTGTTTCTTTGAGGGAGGAATTTTCTTTGTTGGCTGCATCTAGAGCTTGAGTCTTATTCTCCAAGTTTCTGATCAGCTTTTTATACATTTCTTCATCATCACTGACTGCTTCATTACTGGATTCTGCTGCATTCACAGAAATAGAGTTTAAACATGTATATTGATCAGTATTTAACTCACAAATTGAAAGTGTTTCAGAAAGTGTTGCAGCATCCAGGGAGACTCTTTGGGATTCTGTTTCAGTGGAACTTCCGGTAAGATATCTGACAGAAAGAGCTTGTTTAGAGGATTGCTGTTCCTCTGTCTGTTCAGGTTGTTCTTCCTCCTCATCACTGACAGCACAAATCAAACTCATTCCTCTCCTTCTCAAGGTATTTGCACATTCATTAGCATAATGTCCAAATCCTGAACAGGCCCTGCATTTAATATGATCCAAGTTAGGTGGTTCAGAATTTGAACGAATAAAAGAAGAATTTTTTAAATTGTTTTGAGAAGGTGTTTGAGGAAATGTTCTCTGTGGAATAGATCTATTCATGGGGCTGAGTTTGTCGATTTTGTGGAGACCCTTCTGAAAATAACTGCCTGGGCTTGATTCCACTTCGTCTGTACGCCCTATTGAATTTCTGAATCTGAAATGCCACATTGTTGAGGCATTCTTCTGCATCATCATCATATTCCGGAGCAACATCTTCCTTCTCTAATTCTACTTGGAGTGCATTTGAGATAGCATTTCCTTTCTCCTTTCTTTGATCTTCAAAGTTCATCTCCCTAGACTTTAGACTACCAATTAATTCGTCCAGCCGTAGAGATGATGTATCTTTAGCCTCCTCAATAGCAGTAACCGTCATGCTGAACCTTTCTGGAAGAGTTCTCAATACCTTATTCACCAGTGTCTCGTTGCTCAAGGGACCACCTAAGGATTGAAATTCATTAGCCAAATCAATCAACTTCTCATTGTACTGAGAAATTGTTTCAGTTTCCTCCATTCTCAGTCTCTCAAATTTGGAAGAGAGTAATCTGAGTTTGGTTCTTCTGACACTATCTGATCCCTCACAATGTAGCTGAAGAACTTCCCAAGCATCCTTCGCAGAAGTGCATACAGAGATTAATTTAAACATTGTTAAATCTACTGAATTGAAAATTGCATTTAACGCCTTTGAATTTTGGTTAGCATTTGCAAGATCATCTGGTGTCCACCGTAATTCTGGAGTTGGAAACACATCCCCGTCCACGTCTGTGATAGTTGGTGGCTTCCATCCAGTGAGAATAGATCTCCAGGCTCTCTCATCAATGGCTTTGATGTACGCCCTCATCTTGACTTTCCAGTAGGTGTAGTTTGTGCCATCAAGTACAGGAGGTCGCATAGAAGCAGTCATCTGAGTATCCATCACGAATTCGTTTCTGTAAAGAAAATAGGAACAAACACTTAGTATACGTCAAGTGTTGGCTCTGATACCAATTGAAATAATTTATGGTCCCGAATTCGTATTATACAGAGATGTTATCTGAAGTGTTGTGACACTTGAGAAAACATGCAGCGGAAATATAAAGATTAAAAGACAATGCTCAGAATTAAAAATGTTCACAAGTAAAGACTTGTGAACTTGCCCTTTACAGGACGGAAAAATATATTAAAATCAGTATTACAAGAATACAAACAGAAGAGGTGCGAAAACTTCTTCCTTATGAATGAATCTTTTTCAAGATCATTCTTACAATCAAATCTAGATACTAAAAGAAAAATATTAAAAATTCTAGATTTCAAAGAATGTACTCATAAGGAGTACGTACAACAGATCCTAGAAACACACTAAAATTCTCGAGATTAAAACTTCAGCTCTCTATTTTGTTTCCTCGAAATATGTGTTATTCTTGAGTCTTGAGTTTGGTATTTATAGACTTGCCAAGCTTCCACTCCTCAGCCCATGATCTGCAAGAAAACCAACCACAAGAGCACTCAAGAAAATGGGTTAGTGGGTTAGTTAGGAAGTTAGAATAAAATCCACAATTAGACCCACTAATCACTACTTAGCCCACTAAGTCATAACACTTAGCCCACTAAGTAATAACTAAAATTTAGTTTGAAAGTAAGAGAGTTAAAAAACACTTTTGTAAATAACAACGTGTTTCAACGTGTTATGGAATTACTGGTCTATGATATCATATCTGATAAGATATTATGATTAATCGTTCCTGACTGTAAAGTATGAAAGTGTTATATATATGCTCTTTTGAAATGCGATTGCATATCATATTTTATGATAACGAATAAACTAAATATGATTATGACATGAAAGGCTTAGACAAAGAGAATATAAACGAGGACTTTAGGTTTCCCATATGACTGGAGGGATACGTTGAGAGAGGTGTGAGTGCGTCAGATCAAAGTTCTTACAGAGTCAGTAGCTGGGCTCACGCTTTATGCGAATTTCCCTATTCAGGTTCTCGAAACAGTTATGGAGGCTGGTTGAGCGGAGTTCGAGGAATCACAAGCCTTTATATTAACCGAGTATTTTCAAAGATTATATTAGTCACTTTCTTTTTAAGTGTTTAATTTGAGAAGTTTATAATTTCATTTATAATGTACTCTCATTTAGGAATCTAGTCTATTAAATCGGGGTATATGTAAAATAAAGTAATTTTATTTTCGTTGTATTATGAGTGTTGCTTTAAAACCCCGTTTATGTTTAGGTAGCACTCTTTATAAAAATCATATCTTTCAAGTGTGGGCTATATTTGAAGAAAGAAAAATGCTTCGGCAATTTCCAAATTTATTTTCTTAAGGACCAAATAAAATTCGAAGGTATTAATAAAGTCTATTTTTCTAAATCGTATACTAAACTATTTCTTAATTAAACAAGAGACATGGAGGGTGTTACACTCAACCAATATATTAATGTGGGTTCTAATTTCAATGATGCAGGTGTTTGTTTTTGGGTTTATTCTTTTGGGTATCGGAGAACCGGATTTCCCGTTGTAGTTGCTCTTCCAGATCTCGTTCTCTCCAGTTCTAATCATGCTGATGCATCAATCATTTAAACTGGTTTATGCTTGTTCTCTACTACTGTTGCAGTGTTTATAGCTTGGTTAAAGGGCAAATAGCGTTAGTTCATGACATTTGGTAGATAAGTGAAACATATATTATATTTGCAAAATTTCATAGAGAAATATTGTTAAACAAATGTTTTATATGATCAGAAAATTTATTTATTCAAATACGAAAGCTTTTTCATTACATAATCATTGGATTCTCTTAACTGTAAAGAATTAATCCCATGTTGCGCAATCCATTCTTTCGAATGCAAATTCCTTTTTATCCAAGTCAAAGCTTGTGAAGAATTGTTGCTGGATCAGGTTCCCTAGAATGCTTATTGTAGCACCTTTATCCACAATTTCAATGGGTAGGATTCCTAAGCAAAAAGATGATTTGGAAATTTGATGAAAAATGTTATCGGCGGTTAGGTCCATAGTTGCGCCACGCTCGAATATTAACTCGACAGGTGGAAAAGATCCCAAATCTTGCTTTACATCTCCATCGTAGCACAACTTCATGTATCCTCCACGTGAGAAGGTGTTATTTATGGTAAACTTATCTTCATCTTCATCTTCATCAAAAATATTCATCACAGCTATCTCGAAAGATTTCACCGCCAAGAGTGGCATGTAGGTATAAGTTGAGCCGGTGTCAACCACCATTCCGCCGATGTTACCCTTTTTTTTGAATATGTTACTATCAATAGCCAATACATCACCGTTAACCATGATTTTTTCCAAATTAATATAGTACTTGGTGTCCACAACCAATGAAGTCTTATAACCCAATAGGGCAACTGAGTTCCCAAGAAACAACTTATGATTGGAATATGATGTGTCACTTACGTTGCCTATACAATAACCAAACCTCCTATATCCTAATTGTGCAAGAAGAGAAATAGAATGGTCGGCGAGTCCTAAAATGCCACTACTATCTATGTTTTTTGTTTTATATGAACATCCAAAGAAAATTCCTTTTAGAATTTGTTCACCAAACACAAACTGCTCCCTAGCCACCCGTCCACTGCAGGAAGAACCATCACCATAATAGACCTCAAATTTACACTTATAGGTGTTATCTAGATCAAATGCACATGAAATTGGAACCGTACCAGATGCTTTACAAATATTGCTATGACAATTATCGAAGGCAAATGTAGAAGACGTGTTCGGGTCAAATATAGGTTCTGGCATGCGAAGGTTGAAGCCGCATGGTTTACAGTTGATCCAGAAGAGGCTGCTGCCGGTGTCCACATACACCATTTGTAAGATATATGAGGATCCAACACCTATGTTGGCAAAAAATCCACCACTTTTCGTTAGATCAAGTTCCAACCGCAGATTGTTTAACTGTAAACTAGAGTTGGAGTTGGCAACCAAAAGAGATGCTCTATATATAGAACTATCATGATCAAAGTTAGCAAGATCTTTCATGCTCGCATTTGGGCGAAAATATGGGGAATGTGTGGAGTGGTGGTGAATGAGTTTTATGGTTAACGGACGCCCATCAGGTCTAGGTCTACTGAGGGTGAAAGGGGAAAGAAAAAGACAGAAAAAAACGACATAAAGAAAGAGGGACGACATTATATTTGAGGAAATTAGCAGTTTTCTATTTAAGAGTGGGGTGTTTTGATTTGTTTGACAGTCTTGTTATATATGTATATATATTAATAAATCGGAAGCACCATAAGCATTACAAAACTACTTAAAGGGAATAGGTAAACGAATAAGAGGGCGTGTGTGCTTGGAGAAGAAGAGGAGTTGGATACAAAATGGGCGTGCAACCTGTTGGGTACAAAATGGGCGTGCAACCTAATTAAACTAATTTGGCAAAGAACGAAAAGGACGTGCATGAGAGAGAGGTGGTTAGGTGACCAGTGATTAAAAATGTTGTAAAAAAGAAATATGGTTTAAAAAAAAATAATATAAAACAATGCAATATTAATTATGATTTAAAAATAACGTTACTCCAATTATTAAAGAAGTCACATCTTATTTATCTTTATATCTTTCTCTATACATATATAAAGAAAGGTTTTGCCCTGAAATCCTAATCCCATTTTGTGAAATATTTGTAACCGTTGGTAAACAAAATAAATTAGTTTCTTATCTTCCTTCCGTTATTGTTCCCATTCCATACTCCTCCTTTTCCCCATGATTCTTGACAGTTTTTTCTTTCCTTTTCTTTTCCATCTCCATAAATTAGTAATTTTTATGTTTTTTTTCCTGGGTGGTTTTCTTTGATTCTCACGTTTTGTTACAACTGTTCTGTGCAATGAAGAAATCCACCACACGATGAATTCAGTTCGTTTTCATTGTAGTTCTTTTTTCCTACTCCTCAGTAGTTTTTAAGTTTACACAATATAAAAAAAAACTTCCCACGAAATATTTAAAACGGCACACTGTGTTTATATAATATCATGTAGGGAATGTTTTGGAGGGGGTGATGCAGATCGCCTGTCCTGGTCGGCGGCCGGCGGTACGCGGGGCACCGTCGCCGGGCCGGAGAGAGAGGTCGGAGGAGTTGGGGCGTCGTTTGTCTGTTGTCCTCGAGAAAGTGAAAAGAGCAAAGATAGAAAATTAAAGAAAAGAGAAAAAAATATATATATTTTGAGAAAAGAGAAAAAGAATTTGACCGACGTTAAATGAAAACTTAAAAAAAGAAAGCAGAAATTGCTGGGGCCCCAGTCCCCACACGTAGACGGATCGCGGTCGCAAATTGCGAAAAGAAATTGAGAAAGGAAAACAGATTGCACTGAAAAAGCGGATTACATGTGATAAAACGGTGTCGTTTTACAGGCCCGGTGAACCAAATAAACAGGAAAAAGAAGTATTAAATTTCAGTTCAACAAAATAAATAAAAATAAACCCCATTATAATTGAAATCTAAATAAAAAATTGTTTCAACATCGATACTTTTTGGATTCACCCCAAGCCTAGGCTATAGAGGTACGTGTCATGTGACATGCGGTAAAATGGCAAGAAAAAGAAAACAAAAATAAGATTAATACGCCATGAACTCCTCAAAGGAAATCTAATTCGTACAAATCAAAATTCAATCTTTTAAGTGTTAAATACAAAAACACCCATGTACTATGAACTTTGTATCATTTACCCCATGTACTACACATAAATAAAAAAAAACCCCTCACATTGTATTGTTTCCAAAATATGACAAAAATACCCCTACTCAAGCATATATATATATATATATATATATATATATATATATATATATATATATATATATATATATATATATATATATTGAGCCATTTTCCACTATATATTTTACCATTTTCAGTCAAATTTACGTTGAAAATTTTGGTATTTATTTTTCTCCAAAACATCTAATTGCTTACATTTTTTTATTTTTGCCATTTTGAGTTTCTTCATTTTTTTTCTTAAATGTCTTCCGGTAGTTCAAACATCATAAGATTACAAACATCTTTACATTCCTATTATTGTTGATAATTTGAACTACCGGAAGACATTTAAGAAAAAAATGAATAAATTCAAAATGACAAAAATAAAAGTTTTTTATTCAGAAAATTTTAAAAAAAAATCTAAGTAATTAAATGTTTTGAAGGAAAAAATAAAAAAATAAAAATTTCTCACGTAAAATTGACCGAAAATGTTATAAAATATAGTGGAAATGGCTCAAACAAACCCTTATATTTATAGGTTTAGCAGGGTATTTTCGTCATATTTTGGAAAAAATATAATAGCCGGGGGTTATTGTATTTATGTGTAGTACAGGGGGGTAAATGATACAAAGTCCATAGTACATGGGTGTTTTTGTATTAAACCCATTTTTTAATAAAATCCTTAGTTTGAAATAATATGTGAGCCACATCCATAATTGTTTTTAATCCCTATCTTGCACTTATACCCTAAATTATATAAATCTAGACATTCACGTCAGTTTAGATTTGTTTTTCTTCTTTTTGTTTTTTCTCTCTCACACGCATTCTCTCTCTCCACCTTTCTCTCACACGTTTTTCTCTATCTCCCTTTCTCTCTCGTTCTTTGCTCTCATCTCTCTATATTTCTCTTGTTCTTCAGTAGTTACACGAAGACAAACACCGCCGACGATGGAGGGAGCAGGGGCGGTGGATCGAGAGACTATGGTGGAGACGGTGGCGGCGGGAGGAGGCAGCGGAGACGTTTGTTGCATAGAAATCTACAATCAAACTACAAGGTTATACTATTAATATGCTAATATTTAAAATTTAATAGTAAAATGGACTATATAAAAATTTACCACAATAAAAACAAAAGGTTTAATATCAAAATAATTTCATTTAATTTGTAGTTTTGTCAATGCATTGCAATTGACGTGTGTCCGAGTAAATCAAATATAACATTGAAAAAATCTAAGAATAAAACTCCCTTGAGTATACCTGCTACTTTAAAATGTTATTAGATTTGTAAAGTACAATAAATATTGTTGGCACCAGATTTCTGTTTGTGAAGATTGAAGAAATCCGCCATACGTGGAAATAAAAGATTGGCAAAGATTTGTTTTCCATGTTTATTTTGAAATTAATTAGAGTCCTATTTTTGTAATATTGTTATTAGGACTTAGATTTATTGTATTCTAGTTAGGTATCTTTTGTATTTATCTAGAATAGAAGTAGAAATCGACTAGGATTCTATTACCTAGTTAATCGATTTGTTAGGGCTCAAGTTAGGTTTAGGGTGGTGGATTTCGTGCCTATATAAGGCCCTCAACCTCATATGAGTCCTATGGAGCTTTAATAAGAAAAATCCCAGCATAAAGGCTTTGAAGGGTGCAGCCCGTGCTGCAGCCCTGTCTGCACGGCAGGTGTGGCAACAGAACAGGTTTCTTCTACCAGGCCATAAAGAAGATCGGCATTTCGGGAGAAGTGCTTAAAAGATCTCGGGAGAGGTCGATCCGCCGTCTGAAGGAAGTTCAACATTGGAGGAAGTCCAAGAGTGCGGAGGAGGAATTGCTTTGATTATCAACAAGTTCGAGTCGTGTGCAAGAACGGCGTATCACATAAAGAGGGAGTCTTTAGTGTTTTATTAAGTCCTATTAATGTACACTTAAATCTGAACTAGTTTTGCAAGTTCTCGTGGATGTAGGGTACATTTGTATCCGAACCACATTAAATTGTTGTGTTCTTTATTCTGCTTTTCGTAGATTTATTACTGTGACAACACAACAATTCTGTTACGTCACCTAATGTCGTAACATGTAGTATGTCTCAACAGATGAATGGATATCCATAGGCATTCAAAATCAACAAATATATTATTAATTTAAAAAAAATACAATTGCATATGAACAATATTAAAAGAAGAAAAATAGTTATTATAAGATGTAAAAGTGTTGTATTACGACGAATTGTTATATATTATTGTATTTGTACTTAAAATCTAATATTTTAGCACAAATTTTAATTTTATTCTTAAAATATATTTTTTGCTGAAAATCGTACAAATCGAATCGTAAAACATACAAATCGAAGTAAATCGTACGATTTTTTTAAATTTACGATTTATTCAACGATTTGAATCGAGAAGGATTCAAATCGAATCATATGACTCAAATCGTAAATCGTACGATTTTGATAACAATGATAATACCTACTAACATATTTCTCTCTCCTCCAGTTTCTTCCATCTCAATAATAATAATAATAATAATAATAATAATAATAATAATAATAATAATAATAATAATAATAATAATAATAATAATAATAATAATAATAATAATAATAATAATAATAATAATAATAATAATAATAATAATAATAATAATAATAATAATAATAATAGTAATAATAATAATAATAATAATAATAATAAGAATAATAATAATAATACTAATAATAATAGTAATAATAATAATAATAATAATAATAATAATAATAATAATAATAATAATAATAATAATAATGAGGGGAAGCTACAGAAAAATCCCTCCGCCACAACTTGGAGCGCAGATCCGTCCCGAGGTAGCTTCCCCTAGCACTGCAGCCCCTCCTCCGGCGCCGAAGGTGCAGATCCGTCCCTAAGAAGAGGTGCTGCTACGACGACCCCCTTTGACTGTGTACTACTTTTACACAACGTCTCTTCAACCGCCCCCGCGCCGGTGGTAGAACACGCTCGTTGCCCGCGACGGTGCGAAAAACCAACAACAAGGAAGAAGCTGAGGAGGCGCAGACCAAGCCGCCGATCAGCACTACCCGTATG